GGATAATGAAGACGGGAAAAAGAGGTCCAGGAGGCAGGAGGGGGTGCCAAATAAATTTGACCTAAATTATAATTTGGCACATAGGAACTCAAAATAATTTCTCAAACCATGGAAGTTAGTGATTAAATTGGTAGCAGATTAAATTGGCTGTGTCCCAGGCACCAATAACATTGTTACAAACAGTAATTAAGCATGGGAAAATCATGTGCAATAGCTAATAGTCCTGTTCACTTTCAAAAATTCTGTAATCTCAAGTATCTGTCACTTTCCATTAGATCTGCAACTTGACTAAACTCAGGAGTTCTGCCCCACGGTACCATATCACTTAAAATCTAGTATCTGAACAAAAATCTGAAAATCACACTTTTTGAGTCTCTAGACTAACATTTCCATGAGCCAACGATCCATAAGCAAACACTATTTTTTAAGTCTTCATTACAAAGCACCTAAGTTTCTCTTCAGGCAAGACTGAACTGCCAACTTCTCAAATCTTAATCCCTTCTATCCCAAATCAAGAGTAACAACACACCAACAGAGGTTCATAGGAATTAGAGAAAGGAACTCCCATCCTTCCACAGCTTTGGTCTTCCTCTAAATATCACAGAAAAAGAAAACTTCACAATTAAAAAAAAAAAACTTTTAATACAGGCAAAACATATTCTTTAAGAATTCACAACCCTATATACCTCACCTCCCCTCCCACCAAATAATCTCTCTACTCTAATTCGATTTCTCTGGACAGCCACTCCCTCCAAAAAATCAAATGGTTTTACTGACCTCCAATTCCTCAGCTTTTTTCCTTCAGTATAGTCTATTTCTATAACTCCCAAATTCAACAATAATAAATTAAAGCTTCATCTCTTTCCTGACTCCAGCTCTAGAATGCCCTATTCCATTTTCATGTTTCCCTAAATAGAAAAACCCAGTACTGAATTTCTGCTCTTGTATGTGCCCTCTATCAGTTTTTCTTTCACCGTGCTATCTATACATTTTCCCTAAATACTTCTAATTTCTCCCAACATTTATTGTAACTGAAATATTTATCCTTAATTCTATTTCTTTGTCACAGCTGGATCATAAAATTCATATAAATCAGAATTATGTATAGATGGTCCTCTAACAGAAGTCATTTATAAATTCTACTGTTCTAAAGTCCAAAACAACATGGTCAATAACAGTATTTGTTGGTTTCAGGCAGAACTGAAGCATTTTCCTCACATGTAGCTTTGTTGAGATCTGTAAAGTTGGTAAATTGAAATTCTGTAAACAGGGGATTCTGTCCTTCCAAACACTTAGCATATTGCAATCTACATACCTGATAACAATGTTTTACATATCAGAGACATTCAATAAATTTATCATTTGGTAGACAAAGAATTTTACAATGACTTAAAACAGTAAAATACCATCTTCTTAAAAATCACAACCTTTGTATTCATCTCAAATGCCCTTTACTCTGAGTCCACATTCAAGAATATAGCTGGAAGAATCAGATCAATAAATACAGAGAACAAACTGATGGTTGCTGGGGCAGATGGGGGGAAAATGGGCAAAGTGGGCAAAATGGGCAAAAAGGAGTGAGAGATACAGGCTTCCATTTATGAAATGAATAAGTCATGGAATAAAAGGCACAGCATAGGGAATATAATAGATGATATAATAGCATTGTATTTTGACAACAGCTACACTTGTGGTGAGCGTAACATAACATATAGAGATGTTGAATCACTATGTTGTATGCCCAAAACTCATGTAACATTTTGTGTCAACTATACTCAAATAAAATTTAAAAAATTTTTAAATACAGCTTAAGGAAATGATCTTTAAAATAAATACACACATTCACAAAGATATTTACCATGGCACTTGGGTATTCAATGATAACTAATAAAATTATATCCATTAACTTGGAAAAATGTTACACAAGCAATTTAAAATAACATCTATGTAAAATAGGGAATATACATGGAAAATGTTTTGGTATAATATTAAATGCAAAAGCAAGGTCCCAAATTTTATCTACAGTATTACTGCAATTCATTTTAAAGCCATGTAGAGAAAAAAGACTAAAAGGAAATACATCAATGAGATTACAGGCAATTTTTTTTCTGTACTTTCAAAATTCCTGTAATTCCTAGAGTTCCTCCAAATTTCCATGCTCATATTATTTTTATGATGAAAAGAAAATAAGTTTTCCTATAAAATCCCAAAATTTTACTCAAAAAAGAAGGAAGATACAGACTATCTGTTGGAGGGTAACAAAAAAGCTATGTCTATACTGTCTGTATTTTGGGTGTCTCCATTTAACAAATTTGCTACTACTGAGCATTTGCTAGTACTTTGCTAATTACCTTTGCTAATATTGAGGTCATTTTTTATAGTGGATAGTGAAATTTCAATAGCACATCCAAATATGCCATTCAAATTTAACTGTTAATAATCCACATCCCCAAATCACAACTATTCTCAGTATGTTAAGCTTTTGTTCTGTCTAAATAATGAAACAAACCCAGAAGCAGAGCTAATCTGATATCTTATTTTTCGTACTTGTGTGTTCTGAACACATCACTGGATTTCATGTATCTTCAAAGACACTGTAACAGGCTTTCTTAGTGTTGTATAACAGTGACTCAAAACCTGTACAATCAATGACTTTCCTGATGCCTAAACAATCTCTTCTGGTTTCTATTTGAACTCATTCCTTCCAGTTCTATCCTCAGCACAACTGAAAGCAACTATCCAACCACTAAGACTCCATCAAACAGTGACCTTTTCTTTATATTATTGATGATTACATCCTACACAATGTGATTTTTATTTGATTATAAATGGTGGTGAAACAGTTCTGAGAGAACTCAACCTCTTAATGCTACTGCCCATTATAAAACACGTACATGAGACAAATATTAAATTCAGGAATTACTGTTTTGCCACGGTCTCATTTGAAAAATCTTCCATTTACTGTGAAGAAGCTTGTGGTTGAAAGTAAAAATCCCTTCAAACATTTTCTATCTTTGCTTCCTACTGCCCCAGCCCCATGCCAAAGCACAAGCATCCAGGCCGTATCTTATCTTTTCCTGCGCAGTACTGCAATCGGCTTTTTATAGCCAGAAACTCTCTGAATGCAAAGCACGACCTTGGCTACTAGCTTCCCCTGGCACTAGTTCGAAAGTTATTTATAACTTTAAAATTAGCATGAAAGCCTACATTTCTCATCATAACTACTCAAAACATTCCCATTTTATATAACAATGTAATGTACTTTAATCAGAAGGAAACCCCACATTTTAAGCCTACAATATAAAATTAAGGCAGAGCAATTCAACGAAGAAACAAGAATGTACTGAAGTCCAGCTCTTCTCTTTACGAACTTGACTCTTACCTTTCTGTTGCTTTCTATAAAGTAAATGTTTAAAAAAAAAAAAAATCGGCTCTTGTAGGGAATTTTCCAAAAAGAGTTTTGAGGGGGCGGATAAAAAGAAGACGGCTTCTTAGAGTTACAGAGTACCAAATTAAGAGGCAGTGGCAGTGGGGCAGTCACTTTAGCTGAGCGTCATTCACCCAGGATAAGAAAGAAAGGGGAGGTTACAAACCAGGGTGGGTGGTATCTAATCCTGAACTGCTAGTCACTGACCTCACTGACAACTTGTTACTGAAAATACTTCGTTGAAAAAGGCCAGACACATACTTTGCCTAGAGATCTACAACCATAGCTGTCAGGAAGCTCTGAATAAGTTAGATTTGCATTTCTCCAGTCCCTTTCCAAAATAAGGACCTCTTTACATCTAATTAAAGCTGATGGCTAGAATTATGGAGAGTGAAAAAAAAAATGATAAAGCAGGAATAACGGGAGTCCAGGAAATCCACACACCAAAAGATCAATTATGTAAAATTCAGTGTCTTCAATACCATTGGATGATGTGTCACATCTGAGATAGTGTTTTTCTTCTGAAATCTTGCCTATTCCAAGATACACCTGCCCTGGGTATCACACTAAAACCACATAATTATTAGTAAGGGTGTGTACAGTGAAGATTTACCAAATGCTCCACAGGTGAAACCATTGTTAAAGTTACCAAAAAAGTCTTCTCCAACAAAATTTCTTATTTCTGTGGCTGTTCTTTTTATAGTTCCTCTTCCCTTTTTTTTGATATCCTTTTCCTCAATACCCTTTCATTCACCAGAACAAATCTCACTTACGCTTTATCATTTCATCAGTTCCTTGACTCCCCACTTGAACTTATTATACATTTCCTTCACATTACCACTTCTGCAACTTTCTTCCAACAGCTTATAAAACAAGTGGTAACTGTCCCTTAAAAAAGAACTACTCCATTGTATGTTAACTATACTGGAATTGAAATTTTTCTAATTATATACTTAATAAATAAATAAAAGAACTACTCATTTGAGTTTAAGCATTCTTGTTCTTAAAAAGCTGAATTCAAAATAAAAAGAAATTAAAAAATAATTAAAAATAAAAATAAAAAGGAAGCATTTGTGTATTAGCTCCACAGGCACTCTTAGAACAAGTATTAGGGAAATGGCAGAAAAGGCAGGGTCTGGGGACTGTCAGAGAGAATCAACAATGAAAGGGGCTTAATTTTATATGATTTCTAGAGAAATTTGCAAATAACTATTTTTATGTAGCTTCCTTTAAATTGTGCATAGTTGACATTACATTTATCTAAAGATTCTTAGTTGCAAACATACTGTCCTCCCAGATTTTTTTTTTTTTTAAAGCAGCTTTTTCCCCCCTGGAGAATCTAGGAATAGCCTCTTTTCACACTGAAAACAAAGAGTAAGTTTTATGTCTCTCAATCCATCTTTTCTTGAATAAAGAATTCACTTGACACTTGCAAAATAGAAGTTTTTGTTTTAGAGCTTTAATAATGAATGTTTTACAAACCCAGACTGTTGAACTGAACCCAAGATAAAATATCCACATTCTATTATAAGTCACTCTGCCCCCACTGTAAAACCACAAATAAGTTACTTACCTGCTCTGTACTTCTCTTTTCCATCTGCAAAATGGAAATGAAAACCCCTATTCTTTCTGTATTCAGGGGATAGGTGAATTAAATGGATAAAATCTGAAGTGTTTCAAATTATATTAAACTTCTCATAGATAAAATACAGATACAATTACAGTATTTAATGTTATCAAAACAATTAAATATCTGAAATGTAATTCTAAAGAGCTTTATTTTTTTGTTTTGTTTTGTTTTAATTGCCTCATAAAAATGTAACCTCCCAGTTTTTCTTTTTCTCAGTTGAAGTATTTCCCACTCTGGCCACAAGAGGTCCTTGTCCTAGCAATTCAAATCACGTCAGATTTGATAGGCAGAGGCCCCACAATCCCTATATTTATATCAGTTGGCTGAGAAAAAATACAGATCACCTATGTCAAGTTTCCATAGCTAACTATAGGACAGCAGACAAAACCGGAGAAATCCGGCTTTCTCTGGGTGATCACTGAAGCATGCTGAACACTAAATAGTTCCTGTAAACTACACAGCTACTGCGTTTTGTATCCTGGCCCCCTTCCAGGTTTTCACAGTAATTCCTTCTTGTAACCTTGCCCAGTCTTGTTCAGTATTTATTCTCCTTCCCTATTTACTTGTTTCCTTTCTTTATACTTTTCAAACTTTAAAATTTTGGCTCACATTCCTCTTGCAAGCAAACAAAAGTTAAGGGTAAAGGAGCTGGAGAAAAAAAAAGGACAGAAGAGACAGAATAAATCACGGCAGTTGTAGCAATCATCCTGAGGCAATCAAAAGTGTGTCTCTGGCCCCAGACAAAGTCACTCAACCACATGTACCGAGAAGCTCCTTGATGTGGAGCCCTATGTTAGGAGCCAGCTAGAACATCAGAGGCACAGAAGGGAGGCCTCCAAAAAGAAAATAATTCTATCTCTATCAGCAGCACCTCTTGGAAAATAAGCCCTCCAGGATACAATCAGTTCTTCAACCAGAATAGAATACCTTTTCTTCTTTTCATTGAAATACCTTAAAGAATGAATGTAGCTTTTGCATGAGTCCATTTTATTCTATATATGATACCTCAAAATGTTTCAGGCAATTGCAGGTTGGGGTTTCATAAAAACATGTGATTTTCTTAACACCTATAACACCTTTTTAAGAAGAGATTTAAAGTTAAGGATAATTTGTCTGTTGTCAATAAAATGATCTTATTCCAAAAATATGTGATAAATAGCACTGGCACTTTGTTGGATGTTTCAGATGAAACTAAATGAATCTGCTCCTATTTCAAAGGACTTATATGCTGCAGCAAAAAAGATGTTTCCCAACTCTCCCTTAGCTACTAACCAACTCTCCTGCTTCACAGACAAAAAAAAACAGAAGCCCCCTGGGAAAAAGTCCCATGCCTTCTCATCATCAAGTCTACAAAACCACCTGCACTGAGTCCCAACGTCTCCAGCTTCCCTCCTATTACAATGCAAGCAGTACCCTTGCTCCTATCAAAGACTAATCTCTCCTCTTCTGCTCTGGATCCCTTCTTCTCTGCCCTTCTCAAGGACTCCACTCCTTCCTTCTCACTTCATGTACCACACTATCATCATTTCTCTAATGATCAGTACAAAAATATGCCACAAGACCTCAAACTTTAAAAATATCCAACAAACAAAAGTATTAGCTTCACCCTACAGCTCCTCCTACTTTCTGCTGCCTTCATCACAATACTTCCTAAATAAACTGCTTACCCTTCTTACATTTTCACCTATCAATCATTCACTCCATAACCCGTTTCTGTTTCCTTCACTACCATGAGGGCCATTTTTAAGTCTACCACCAACTCCTGTGTGGCCAAATCATACTGTCACCTCAGGGTTATCTGATCCAATCCCATAGCTTTAAAGGAGATCTGTAATAAGATGTCAAGTGGGATTTCTGCTATTGTGCAGAATTGGCAACCAAGCTCAAAATAAAAAAATTAAGCCATCTATGTTATATTGCACGCTAACAAATTTCCAATATTTGAGGAGAGACACCTTATTCAGGGCTCCCTAAGAAGCAGTTAGGAGTTATAGGCTCTTTCCCTACTGTTTCCTCTCCTAGCCCTAACACTACAGAAAAAGTCAGGGGACTTGAAAAATTAGAGGAACAAGGCCAACTAAATCTCTCCTCTTGAAGATACCAGAACAGAAGTGGTGAAAAAAATCAGTCCTGCCCTTTCCCATTGCCAAGTCCTTGGAGAAGACATCTGGTCGATACTGAAGGAAAAGGAGAAGATTTAAACTGGAATAAAGTGCAAGTTTTACACTGGACTAAGCCGTCTTTAAAGCACTGCACTAATGGCAGGGAAATTATGGCATCTACCAGTATGTCATTCAAGAATGAGAAAGGGAGATGCAACAGAGCAAAAGGACAGGCAGAGACTGGAGAAGGCACATTAGTGCACCAGATACACCACTCCTACATCCATATGTTAACAAATTCCAAATCTGTGTCCCCAACTGTACCTCTCTCAGGAGCCCCAAAGGCATACATCCAATTGCCTTCCCCATCTGGATACCTAATAGACATTTCAAACTTATTCTATCCCAAAAAAGATCTCTTGATTATGCCTCTCAAATCTACTAACATATCCTAGTAACTGGTTTCATCGCCTAAATGCTTAAGCCAAAACCTAGGAATCATCCTTCAACCCTTTTTCTCCCTCACAGTCATCAAAAATTCCCACTAATCCTACTTCCAAAAGTTATCTTTAATATATCCACTTCTCCCCATCTCCTCTTTCGCAGCTAAATTGAGGCATCTGTAATCTAGTCTCCACAGAGCATCTAAATGATCTTTCAGAACATAGCTCAGCTCATGTTATTCTCCTCCTTAATATCATCCAATGCCTTGTTACTAGTTAAAAAGAAAAAAAAAGAAAGAAAATCCAAGTTCTTTAACAAATCTACAAAGCCTTCTGTGATCTGGCTCCTATCAACTACCTCTTCTACTTTGACTCACAGCATCCTCACCCCTAGTTCATTGACTTCAGTTCCATTTTCTACTCACAAAACACCCAAGCTTATGCTCCTTAGGAATGTTGCACTTACTCCTCCTCTTGTCTGAAATCATTTCTTTCCAGATGTTTATATGTCTGGCTCCTTTTCATGGAGGTATTGCCTGATTACCTTATCTCACTGTCCCCTCTCACTTATCTGATTACCTTATCTCACTGCCCCCACAACCTTGAGCATGTATTTATTTGTTTACTTATGCTGTCTTCACCAGGGGAATGAAAGCTAGGGGCAGTGGCAAGTCCATAACAGTACGGCATATTTAAATTAACTTAATACAAAGTGATGCATCAATATCTACGAGATTTCAAAGGAGGGGAAGATATCTCTAGGAAAAGAGGATAATCCAGGAAATTTTCCTGGAGGGAGTTAGATTTGCCTGGATGCAGATATAAAAGATACCAGAAAAGTAAGAGAACAGTGTCTCACTAGTTTTATTTATCAAATATCCCTCAAATCCACTGCCTCTCCATCTTCACAGCTACTACCCTGCCCTGACACAAAAAAACAGTTATGTCTTGTATGTTATCTTTATATATTTACCACCAAATTTCTTCTTCACCCTCTCTTTCACTTTATGTAAAACTCAAATACAGCATTTAAACGTTAGTCGGGTGTACTTAGAGTTAAAATTAAAAATCTCGGTTTAACTAGTTCATCACTACTGAAATTGACACATTAACTTTATTTCCTTGGTGATAACAGAGAGGCAAAAACAAATGTTGTTCTCATTAATTTTTCTCATTTAATTTTCTCAGAGTGCCATGTCTCAATTTTGACAGGCCATCTTGCTATTAGTCAATAACCTTAACAAGCACAGTAATTACAGTCAATCACGTCTGTTTTAGTTCATTGATTACTTTATTTCTTTTTCAACTTGTTAATGAAAATTCCCATCACAGACCTTCTTGGTGACATTTCTTTTATTAATTAACCACCCTATCACTCCCTTGAATATGTTAATCAACCACAGGATCTAGTATTGATGGTTCTAAAAACCTGCTCTTGCAGCTTTGAAAATCACAATCATTTTCAGAGATACAGGACATCTAGAAACCTTTTTGTTTCAAACTGTTTAAACAAAAGATGTAATTATTGTAATTATTGATCAAATTATGTAATATGATATGTATTTAAACATACATTTTACTTGATACAGCTTTCTTTTTAAAGATTTATTTATCTGTTTTAGAAGGAGCAGGGCTTGATCTCAGGACCGCAAGATCATGACCTGAGCCAAAACCAAGAGTTGGACACTTAACTTACTGAGCCACCCAGATGCCCCACTGATACAACTTCTAAAATGTTATAGAAACTATCTTATTTTTCTGAATGTAACCTTGAGAGTTGGTAGTAAATAACAGAAATAAAAAGTAATGTAGCATCTTAGCCTAGAGCTACTCAATGAGGGATACAGTAAGACTGATATCATTTAAAAGGTAGAATCATGCTTGGCCTTCAAAGAGTATTCCAGGTTAAATTTGCCTTTGAGAAAAATTGTCTCTTTGTTCTGAGAAAACGAATATGGTAAATTTTCTAGTTGTGCAAATGTACAAAAGCAAGTCTCACCTAAAATATGAAGAAGAAAATGCTGTTTTACACAAAGAAATTCAGTTAGATATGTCTCTACAGATTTTTATTCTTTCTTAAAAAGAAGAGTTTCTTTTTCCTGGTTGAATCTATAGGATTCTCAAGCCCATCAGAACTGACACCCTCTTTATAAGTATTTCCCAATGTCCTTTTTTAATATCCTAAAATGAATTTCATAGTTACTAACTACACATTAACCACTGAATCTTTAAAAACACACTTTATATATAAATATAAGTTATATACAGTTATATGTATTTACATAAATTGCATATTTGTATTTCATTACACAAATGCTCAGGCACACTTATACTGGAACACATAATGAAAGTCACGTTTCCCGTTAAGCATAAAATCACTGTGAATGTGATAGCTACAAATGTAAATTGATAAGGATGTGTTGTGCTGGTAATTCAAATGTCTACAGCTGCTTTGCAACAGAGACAAGATTTTCCAAAATGGTGAGCAACCCCTCATATAATACAAAACAAAACGAGAACCATCTTCCTTTCATATACCCGAGTGCAATCTTCCTTAGATATACTCAAGTGCATTCCTAGAA